ATATGCGCAATTGCATTGATCGAAAAAACTTCGAAATCATATTTTAAATTTATTTTGTTGGTAGGTACCTACTACTACCGATACGTATTTAGCATTCAAAAATGTTTAATTTTTTGCAGATTTTTTAATTTACAATTTTTGATTTTTATTATTACTTTTATTCATCGAATTTAATTTCAGAAAAAAAAATATTTTAATATTTTAACAATTAACTCGAAACTATCAGAAAAGTTACTATAAAGTGAGCTGAGTGCATATTATAGAACGAAGCACTACGACTGTACTTTGTCTTAGGCTCGGAATTTTTGCAAAACAACACCAGTTTATTCATTATTCTGGTTTCTAATCAAAACTATTTTTGTTTTATTTTTTATTTCATAGTTTTGTTGTTTTCAACCCGTAAAAAAATCATCTGATTTTATATACCGTACCTATCAGCGTGAAGATCGAAAAGATGTGAATTTTGTTCAATAAAGTTTCGCCGACTCCAGCTCGAACTTCAGCTCCAGTATATAAAAAATAAAAGCAAACACGTACCGTCGCCGATTACTGGTGATGGGTGACTGCTCTGAACCAATAAACAGCCTCTAAATTCTCGAGCGCAAATCATAGGTCAAAAAATAATAACAAATAAACATCGTTCACTCACCTTAAGGACACCAACTTGTTGGCACCAAAACGCCGGCGAATGTAGAATCGGAATTTTCGAAAATACAAGGAGAAACTATTAAAAGTGCACTTTAAAGCAGCTTTAAGTGCACCTTGAAAATTTTTATTGAGACTTGAATTGATTTACTGCAGTTTAAAACTGGATAAGTACTTTAAAATTCACTTGGCCAGAGGGGAGGGTGATCGCGAAACACTGCCGTACCGTCCTACCGTCGAGAAGTTATTAAAAAATATCGGGGCGCGAATTCCTTTTTATAGGCAGTTGAGGAAGGGTAGCTTTGCGGGGGGAGGGAAATGCGCGGTGGGGTAGTTTTGCCCCATTGCGCAGGCTTTCGGGGAAACTTCATGCTTGTAATGGCGACACGAAGACGGATGACGACAGATGAGACCGACATAAAACAGACAGTTAATATGACGAAATCCTTTGTCAAGTATGTTAGTAGTTAAATGGCAGTATAACTTTACATGGGTTACTTATTGAAGTAACCAAATAGTTTATAAGGAGTTTATAACAAGATCGCGGAAAGCTCGTTCAACTGTTGAATTTCGCGGGCTTTCCGCACAGGTGAAAACTTCACACCGTTTTAAAGAGGTATTAAATTTAAAGCTGCGATATGCACTTTGTTAGTAAATGGTACAAATACATAATGTTCTTAAAGGCGTAAGCAGAGTAAGTCGAAATATTGAGTGGATACAAAGATAGTTATAACTATTCAAATGCTTTGCCTGGCATCTAATATCTATTAATTTACAGCAATTTTTAGGACTAGGACAGTATTAGTTATAGGTACTTAGGTCATCTTATTAAGTAAATAGATAGGATGGTACTTCAACAAGTAGGTAGGTACATAGGTCGGTAACCATGGAAACTACGGAGAATAAGTATACTGATGACGTCATTGACGGTTTAATAAAAGTGTTCTAGATAAGACGATGGGATTTAAATTGCACGTCGACTACCAATACCCTCATTAGGTACATCTACATCCCCAATACATTTACTTTTTTAGATTTGTTACTATTTTAAATAACTTGATTACCAGTTTATTACTCAATCTGTTTGTCATATCGTAAAATATCAATAAAGGCAATACTTTTGGGAAAACTGCAAAAATTATAATGACATCTAATCACATTGTACTGATAACACACATTTTACTTCATAGCAGCTAACGCCATCTAGGTGCGTATTTAGCAAAACTATTCAAATGACAGCTCAAATTTTTGGGTTGCCAAAAAATTAAATTCATCCCAGTTTAGTATAATATCTACTTTATCTATTTATTTATATTTTGTACTAAAACATTAGTTTAAATAGAGCGTTAAGATGAGATAATAGGTTTGGTTTACATATTAGAACAATACAAAATCCAACGACCTTATTATTCCCAATTCTGATATCATGTATCCAAATTGGGTTAAGTCATATTGAGATTACTAGTTTAGGAAAATTTGTAGTAAAATTCAGGATAGTGCGTTCTTTTACCAAAAATATATCTTACACAGGTTTTGTACTATACACAAATAATAATAACAGAATAGGTACTGCTTTATACTTTAAAACGGCTCGCTGAACGCAAGTGCCATATTAAGATCACCGGGAAGTGTGCAAGATGAGATTTCGGAGGCATCAAAGCACCTTTTAATGTGTCATGCTGTCATTTGACGTGTGACATGTGTCGCCAAAAATGCATACATTTCTGAGAGTGTATATAGGAAGATTGCACAACTTGATTCTACCAGCCGTTTACATTATTGTACCTCCATTTATAACATAAAGAATCAAGCCTTTTACTCTCACACAAAGGGATCTTCTTCGTTTTTTTATGAGAACCCTTAAAGCGAGAAATTTCTTGTCAGACTCTATATTATCAGAATCGTTTAACCTTTGTTTATAACCTTAGAGAACGGGTTGCTTATATGTGGTCAAAGGGTAGCCCCCTTAGACCACATATAAGCACAAAACAATATTGACAATAATATTGAATAATACTGCGTATTGTCAACAATATCGCAGAATTATTCAGCTTTATTGCGGATTTTTCAGAAATTCATATTTTGTCCCATCGGTATCGGGCAGAGGCAGGGATATTGTCAATAGTATTGCGTAGTTTGCGGCTACCATATACCTACTATTGATAATCTTGTACCTATTGAAGACATTATTTTGTGTGTACGGCTAGCCTATCGTTGATCACAATATCGCTTACCACCAGGCTAGATAGTGCTCAGTGGACAACAAGCAATGCACATTTTAAGATCGGATAAGTACTTGAAATTTTAAAACATTGGTGCTGACAAGTACCTATTTAATGACAAACCATCACAAATAACTCAAATGCGATATCCACAGTGCCCTAATAATACGCGATCACCATGTGATTAGGCCAAGGAATTTTATACTTTCGTCAAAATAAGAACTTTTAATAAATTGTTGAATGCGTATTCTTATTGAAACTTATAAAATCGCTGTATTCCAGGTCACACGTTGAATCGAATCCTTATTTAGTAAGTAAGTGCGCATATGTACCGGGTCATCTTTTGCGTCGCTCCTTGTGGGTCTCGTTTCAGAGCGACACTCTATTACAATAGAATAGAATAATAGAATAGAATAATTTATTTGTATGTACTCCACTTACAATGTTTTTTTTTTAAATTACTATATTAAAGTAAAATTATGCTAGACTATTAACTGGATTGACTGCCTCGTTGGCCGAATGGTCGCAAGTGCGACTGCCGAGCAAGGGGTCTCGGGTTCGATTCCCGGGTCGGGAAAAGTACTACTGGGTTTTCAAAAAATTCTCAGTAGTAGCACGGAGTCTGGAATTGTGCCCAGTATATGGCAATAGGCTCACCACCTATTGCATGGGACTCATAACATAAATTAGTAAAAAGTGGGTGTTACATTGTACAGTGGCATAATGTGCACCTCTGCCTACTCCTTCGGGATAAAAGGCGTGATGTTATGTATGTACTATTAACTAGATAATAATAATACATTATTTTGCTTAAAACTATGGACAGAAAAATAATAGGACTAGTACTAATATTTGTCGCGATTTGCTTGAACTAGGTTTATGCAACCTGTGTTTCAAGTCATCACTTTATTACTATTCATGTTAAATCTATACAGGTTTGTATTATCACCTACTTACATAAAATTTAGAAATTATAAAATAAAATAATCTATGTATGTGACCTACTTAAAGTAATTGACCTTAAAGACTAATTAACTACGTCAGTACATATAAAAGTTTTTCTGTGTCATTGTAATTTAATTTAAGCAAGTACTCCGTTATTATGTTACAACATTTCTTATGACTAAGGCTGTATACATTACAAGATTTATTTATCTTATTGTACAAAAACGGTCCGAGAAACATATAAAATCTAGTGCAATAGATGCCTATTGCACTAGATTTATAAACATGAATATGATATAAATATGATATAAACGATATAAACATGCGTTTAGTTTGTCTAGTTTGGCAGACCAGATTATTCCTTTTCTTTACCAAAATTTCACGGTCATAGGTGAGATCCGAATGTTGAAAAAGAACGATGTTTAATATACTTAATTGCCGTACTGTAAGAACCTTACATGCCTTGTAAAGTTCGTGAGTAGAAAATCTAAAAGGGCGAAATGTCGCAACCTTTAGGTTGGCCCTCTGAGCACTTTCTAGTGGAAGCATTATTGTTTTAGCGGTACCTCCCCATGATGTTATGCAATATGTTAGTATTGATTGGCACAAAGCTAAATAGACTTGTTTAATTAATACATAGTCAGCTATATTGCGTAAATTTTTAAATACGTACATTAATTTACGGCGTAACACCGAGGTATTTAATAAAATCAGTTTTGATAAGCGCGGGACAGGTACATGCTGAGTCACCAAGAGTAGTACATTTGTGTGCATAAATATTTACATTAGTCATATGTGGGTTATGGTTTCTCATTGTGAACATGATATATTTCGTTTTATCTGCAACAATAGTGGGATACTATTCCATATGCCTATGAAACTGGATCTCTAATCAATAACGTATGAGTATTTGTACGATTTAAATATATTTTGTGAAATTTTCATCGTTCAACGCTGGCAACATTAAGTACATACGTCAACACCGTCAACACGACGTTAAAAAAAATGAAGTTTGGTGATTTTGATTAAATTAAAATTCGATTTATTTAAAGTTCTCACTGAATTATAAATAACAATGTCGCCAGAAATAGTTGATATTACCGCTCGTTACACAGGGGAAGGTTCCTTGCCCAGTTTTCATTTGTAAACGTGTAAATACACCTAATATTTTTAACATCCATCCTTGGCATTATATCAAGTGTAAAACAGCGGTTGATTTGATTGAGTGCCGGAGGAACACCTTTGGCACTAGTAGAGGGCAACATCTTGTATCAAATTGCTCGTTCCCGCTAGAAATGTAAACCGTGTATTGTTCATGTAATACGAATTCAAATGTTTACGACTCGTGTCCAAATACTCTTTTAAATCAGTGCACCTACGCGTATTTATTTAATACGATCATAAATTCGTTTTAATTTTAAACAGGTTTGTTATTTTTGCATTATTTTAGCATTCTAGTATTTTTCGCAAGTTTTCTAATTATCTTTAAGTCAGTGTTTAAGAGAAGTGTTTTAATAAGTTTTTACTTACTAGGACTATTTAAAACTGAATTTATTGTAATGTACTAAATACAATAGCATTTAAAACATTAGCTCCAAAAATATTATTATTGATATTTATTGTACTACCTGTATTATCTATAGCTACATCTTAAATATTAAGATATCAAATTGTATTTTCCAAAATATTTTTTATCATTACAAACCTGATAAATAAGTTTTGTAGCATTCATTTAACATTTACTTTAGCATTTTTAGTAGGAGAATACCGGTGACTACCATACTATTTTAGACTGCTATTTGCTAAGAAAATATTTTATTTCAGCCAGCAGTAACCTAACAAACCATGGAGGACACAATCTCACAGAATTTAGCTAATATACTCAGCACCCTGACTATACTGTCATGCCTCTTCCTCAAAGTGCCACAGATTATGTACATAAAACAAAAGAAATCGGCAGAGGGAATCTACATACAGGCTATGCTTATGGAAATATTTGGGTGAGTTGATATTCAACCTCCTTTTTTATTAAAGTGATTATAAAAGTAGGTCAGCATACTATCTTGTCTATTAATGGAGAATGTTGCGAATTTATTAAGTACTTGATAACTACAAGCGGTACTGCTCGTAGTAGACTTTTTAATTTTAATTGTGTGTGTTAATTGACCTATATTTTTTGTAGTGGGCAATAAAGATAGGAATTGTTACATATGAACCTTTTTAGATTAGAAAATTAGATACAAGGTGTGAGTTAAATAACAACATTTGAACTTGGTCATGTTCCATAAGACTGGGTCTAGATTGTGATTCCAAACAATTTACCAAGAATGGGGATTACAGCAAATCCACTTCTGATATCTTTAGAGCCACCCCTGCTTACCAGGGGATAATTATTTTCAGGGGATGATCATCTTAAATTAAATATTAAAATAATGCGACTTATTAACTATTTTTATGTCTGGTCGAATATAAGAAACAGATCTCCCTTATCTACCTATGTACATATTTTAAGCTATGTATAAAAAAGAAATTCATATTATTACACTATGTGTAACTCAGGAACGGCTAAAATGATTTGTATGAAAACTGGTAGGCTTAGTTAAGTTTTGAACCAAGAGACGGACGTAGGGTACTTTATCCAATGCTCTTTTTTTACTCTTTGCCGAAAATCACGAAAGGGAACAGGAAAAAACGAGATTATACGAAGCATACGAAGTCGCCTTCAGAAGCTAGTTTTGAAAAGAAGACAGTGATGTAGGATCCAAATGGATTGTTGTTTTACTTCCTGGTACGCGTTATCTAATATATAAAATTCTCGAGTCACAGTTTTCGTTGCCATACTCCTCCGAAACGGCTTGACCGATTTTGATGAAATTTTTTGTGCTTATCCGGTATCTATGAGAATCGTCCAACATCTATTTTTCATCCCCCTAAATGTTAAGGGTAGTCCACCCCTAAATTTTTATTTTTATTTCTTAGACAAAATTTTTAATTTATATTTTTTATGATACAGCATACAAAAATACATACAATCCTCAATTTTCACCCTTCTACGATCATTATTTATGTGGCAAAACAACGTTTGCCGGGTCCTAGTACATATCTATAATAGTGACTGAAACTTACACAGTTTTCGATATGAGGATAACTACTTCCTTATCATTTATCCTTCATTGTATTCATCAGTTATTAATTCAATAATAATATGATTTGTTTATAGTGTCGTTAAATGGTCTATTAGAAAATATAAAAGGTAAACTGCACATAAATCTACGCATTTCAATACAATTCAGTTTTTATTGTCACAATAAGATTATATTTCTATATTTCATGTCACATTTCAATAGAAAGTGAATAACATGTAGGTAGGTAGTTACATCCGACGCGACGGGACATTTGATTACGCTGCCGCAAACATTGGTACAACAAAGAGTTACTCTATGAACTATAATTATACCTCTATTGTTAAATTATAAAGAACTAGCTACTTCCGCGCCGTTTCACACGCTCTGCTCAGCACCTATTGATCGTAGCGTGATGTTTTATAGCCTATAGCCATCCTCGATAAATGCGCTATCCAACACAAAAATAATTATTCAAATCAGACTTGTAGTTACGGAGATTGGCGCGTTCAAACAAACAAACAAAAAAAAAACTCTTTCGTTTTATATAATAGTATAAGATTTAGACTGTCGCGTGATCGTATAATTTTATTAATGAAGCATCTCCGTTTTAAGTTTACGCGGGAGAGCCATGCTTCAGCACGAACGGGCTAGATCCACTGGATTGATACCACATCCTTTCTAGCTGACAAATCGGCGAGAAATAACGCAAGCTTTGTGATTCGCCTCTCCTCAGCCCCAAAAGCCGGCAATGCTCTTGTAACTCCTTTTATATTGCGCGATACCACAGTTTCATGGTGTATATCCCAACCATTCTACGAAGCGCTTCGGTTCAAACTTCCTTGTACGAACTGCTAAGGAGTGGAATTCTTTGTTACAGTGTAATTCCAGAGGGGTTTAACCTGGGCGTCTTCAAAGCCTGAGTGAGTAGGTCGCTTTTGAGTAGACGAGGTCCATCGTTGGCCGCATCATTGCTTACCGCCAGCTGAGATAGCGGCCAAACGTAATAAAATAAAAACAAATAGTTATACAGTTTTGTATTTGTCGTTATCAGCCTATAAGTGGTCACTGCTGAAGGTTTGAAGTCCTCAGAAGGTTAAAAAAATAATCTGTGGTACATTTGTATTCACACAGGCGTTATGCGAGGTTCTCCAGGCTAACCAGTATGAACTAGATAACGTGTGTTTGACGTTCCAAGAATATCTCATGATGTTCAAACTATTTAACAAATAGTCGTCACTATGCACACATTTCATGTATGCAAGCCTGCTTGCTTAGTTAATGATTAAATGGTTATGACACACTTATTGCAGTCTTGTGTAATACAATGAAAAAGTAAATGTAAACAATGTGCATAAAGTTTAATTTACAATGAATTTTTTCACAGTGTTCTTTGATGGTAATTGTTCTCTGTTTTGATTGTAACATGTAGGTTTTTAGCAATCAACTAAAGTTTACTTGCAAATTGCAATGTGAAATTGGTTATATTTACTACATTTATTTACGAAGGCTTGTTCTAGGCACCATATTTCCTCAAGGCGAAAACAAGATTTCAGATTTAAATTTTGGTTATAACTCAAAGTCCATATCTACTTAGGATGTTGCTGTACTGATAGTATCTAAATAAACTATATAGTC